ATGCAGAATGTAACTTTCACTTCCACCCTCCTTGCATCCTCATCGTTCTTTCTTTTTTATCTCTTTCTTTCTTTCTTTCTCTCTTTCTTTATTCCTTTCTTTCTTTCTTTATTCCTTTCTTTCTTTCTTTCTCAAACAAATTTATCTTATCTTCTCCTTTCTTTCTACATCTGCGATTATTTCCCTTCCACTGTATCGAAACTGATTTCTATCTATCTATCTATCTATCTATCTATCTATCTATCTATCTCACCCAGTCCATATCTATCTATCTATCTCACCCAGTCCATATCTATCTATCTATCTATCTATCTATCTATCTATTCATTCATCTATCTATCTCACCCAGTCCATATCTATCTATCTATCTATCTATATCTATTCATCTATTCATCTATCTATCTCACCCAGTCCATATCTATCTATCTATCTATCTATCTATCTATCTATCTATCTATCTATCTATCTATCTCAGTCTGTTCATATCTACCTATTTATGTATCTATCTATTCCTATCCATTTCTAACTCCCATCAGCATGACCAATTCTAACCTCCAGGAGAGTGACTCGTTTCGCCTTTTCCGGCTAAAAATCTCATCTGAGATGAAGTGGAAAGACTATATTGAATCCATTGCTTGCTCATCTGCTAGGAAAGCTGGTTCACTGCTAGACAGTTTCTCACGCCAGAATCTATTTTACGTATTTATAAATTTACCATCCGTCCATGCTTAGAATATTTCTGCTACATGTGGTCTGGTATTCTTGCTATATATTTAGAGATCCTTGATAAAATCCAAAGAAGAATCTGCAATGTTATTGATCCTGACCTATCATCTTTTCAGTCAATTTCCAATCGCCGAAATGTACACTCTTATGCAAATTAATTGAAACAACCGCTTTAGTTTCCTTTCTTTCACCATACGGTCAGTTTTAGACCCACTTGAGTGACATGTTGTAATCGATTTTTATTTTTTTCCTCGGGGTAGGTCATTTGGAGTGGTGTGCATTTATAACGAATCTATTTTCGGGGTGTATGAAGAAATTCTTTTGTCCTTGAAAACATATTTTCCTTTTAATATCTCGTTCTTTTAGTGTTCTTACTCCTTAATAATGTGTTACTTTCTCTCTTATTCTTTCAGACTCAGTAACAACACATGAGTCTTAGTAGCTTTATTGCCTTGCTTTTTATTTCACATCAGTAAACTCCCTTGTCTTAATAACTTTATCGACTCGATTACGAGTAAAATTATTAAAAAAAACATAATCTTACGTCTTTCTGAAACAAATCTGTGAAACCTATGAGGATTGACGGGATTGGCTTCCTTCCTTTCGTCTAGCATGGCACAAGGTTATAAACACGGTAGTATACTGAGTATCAGTGTCATTGCACTCAATATCATTTGACTTGACGATCTTGATAAATATTTTTATCATATCGGAGGCTATTTTCGAACTTTTTTTTATATATATTAATTAGTTTTTTTCATATTTTTTTTTCTTGCTCCTGGCTTTTTCTCTGCAATTTTTCTTCTTTTTCTTTTTCTTTTCCTCGCATCTTTGCTTGCTTTAACTCGCTTATTGTGCTATCTGTTTTAATTAATCTAATCCCCGGAGCCTTTAAATGTCTCATTTTGTACCATACACAATTTAAGACTTTATCACTAAAGGCGCGTTGTTCTTGATAATCTCTTTAGCAGGACTGCCTTCCAGACAGTTATCTCCCTTGTTTTGCAGATATCAGCCATTGAAGCCTCAGTAACGTCTATCGGTTTATCTTATTATTTTATATTTAGTAAAATCATTTAATAAAATAAATCCGATTATATATTAATGATATTTCATTGAAAATACATTATACAAAAGTTGTTGTAATTACATAATTATATCAGTAGAACTTCAATTCCAGTAGTTCGACTACTGTTTAATCAGACTAATATTGATCAATAGAATTTAGTACATGCTAGAATCTTAGAGGCCAAAAAATGGCTTGGTGTTGACCTCATTGCACAATTTTAGATGTAACTTCTGTCTATATTTCTGAGATGAAATATTATGTACAATATTTACATTGCTCGGACTATCATCCTCATCTTTGTTACCATATTTATCATTACGTTTCAACCGTTGTACGCTCCGGCCTTCTACAGATGGTTGAAATGTCGAACTGAACCCTTTATTTCGCTCGCTGGGGTAGAGTGTTCTAATTCCATGTCTAATGGATGTCAGTTATCAGTTATCTCCTGTTAATTCCCCTCTCCAAGATCCCCGCTACCTTAACCAGGTATTGAACTAACACTGTTTGTGTCCTGCCACTTGATCTAACGTCTTTTTCTAACTAACGCCACTTTTCCATGTGTCTTCAAGGATACATGTCACAGTGGATAAAGTGACAGGACCCAAAATGTATGGGTTCAATACATGGTTAAGGCGGTGGTGAACTTGGAGAGGGGAATTAACAGGAGATAACAGATAACTGATATCAATTAGACATGGCACGTGG